ATAGGATCTCGTCGGATTTTGAAAATGCCCAAAAAGGCGTACCTATATATTTCAATTGAAGCTTAGCATTAATGTAAGTTTCTATCCTATAGGATCCGATCGGACACTGAGAACTGAGTTCTGAAATGGCCCAAAAGCCATACCTACATACTTCTCTTCAAGGTTAGCATTCATATAAGTTTCTATCCTATAGGATCCGATCGGATTTTGAAAATTGAGTTTTCGAAATGCCGAAAAATCCAAACTTATATATCACCGTTGGAATTTACCATTGATATAACTTTCTATCCTATAGGATCCTATCGGATTTTGAAAATTGAGTTCTGGAAACGGCTAAAAAGGCATACTTATATATCTCCATTAGAGCGTAGCATTAATATAAGTTTCTACCCTATAGGATCCGATCAGATTTTGAAAATTAAGTTCTCGAAGTGATCAAAAAGCCATACCTACATATAACTATTAAAGCTAAGCATCGATATAAGTATCTATCCTACAGGATCCGATCGGATTCTGAAAACTGAGTTCTGCAAATGGCCGAAAAGGTATACCTACATATCTGTATCCAATCTTAGCATTGATCTAAGTTTCTATCCTATCGGATCCTATCGGATCTTGAAAATTGACTTCTGGAACTGGCCAAAGATGTATACCTACATATCTCGATTGGAACCAAGCATTGATATAACTATCTATCCTGTAGGATCCTATCGGATTTTGAAAATTGAGTCCTGGAAGTGATGAAAAAGGCATATCCACATATCTCTATTGGAGCGTACTATTGATATAAGCTTCTATCCTATAGGATCCGATCGGATTTTGAAAATTAAGTCTGGAAGTGGTCAAAAGGCATACCTAATATAACTATTAAAGCTAAGCATTGATGTAAGTATGTATCCTATAGGATCCGATCGGATTTTGAAAATTGAATCCTGGAAGTGATGAAAAAGGCATACGCATATATTTCCATTGGAGCTTACCATTCGTATAAGCTTGTGTCCTATATGATCCGCTCGGATTTTGAAAATTAAATCTGGAAGTGGTCAAAAGGCATACCTACATATAACTATTAAAGCTAAGCATTCATATAAGTATGTATCTTATAGGATCCGATCGGATTTTGAAAATTCAGTTTTGGAAATGGCCAAAAAGGCGTACCTATATATTTCAATTGAAGCTTAGCATTAATGTAAGCTTCTATCCTATAGGATCCGACCGGATTCTGAAAATTGACTTCTGGAAAAGCCGAAAAGGCATACCTATATATCTGTATTTCAGCTTACCATTCATATTAGTTTCTATCCTGTAGGATCCGACCGGATTTTGAAAAGTGAATTTTGGAAATGGTCCAAAAGCGATACCTACATACTTCTCTTCAAGGTTAGCATTGATATAAGTTTCTATCCTATAGGATCCGATCGGATTCTGAAAATTGACTTCTGGAAAAGGCCAAAAAGGCATACCTACATACTTCTATTCAAGATTAGCATTGATATAAGTTTCTATCCTATAGGATCCGATCGGATTTTGAAAATTAAGTGCTGAAAATGCCGAAAATGGCATACTTATATATCTCTATTAGAGCTTACCATTGATATAAGTTTCTATCCTATAGAATCGGATCGGATTTTAAAAATTCACTTCTGGAAATGGCCCAAAATTCATACCTACATATCTGCATTGAAACTTATCATTGATATAACTTCCTATCCTATAGGATCCGATCGGATTTTGAAAACTGAGTTCTAGAAATTGTCAAAAGTGTGTCTCTACATATCTCGCTTGGAGCTCATTGTTGATAGAAATTTTTGTCCGATCAGATCCAATGAGATTTTGAAAATTGAATTCTGGAAATAGTCAAAAATACATACCACTATGTCGCGATTGAAGG